TTTGCTTCTGTACATACTGCAGCTGATCAAAATAACCATTTTGGTCTGTGTTGTTAATGAATTCTTAAATGTGATACATATGCTGTAATATGTGTGGTTGTTAAATAGAATCTAATCTGCAACTGGAACTGATTATTCGTAAATTTCCTCACTTCTTATAGTTATCTTTTGTAGAATGACAACAGCAGTATCAGTACTCAATAAAAAAAAAAAACTCACTAAACATCAAGTCATCAGTTTACGCTAATACGGTAATAGGCTTACAGCTCAGTTGTCGGCTGTCAAAAGTTGTTGTATTACAAAACAGTATAAAGCACTAAATTTGTCCAATTTTGATATATTATTACATATGCGATCGGGTAAAAAAAAAAGAAGGTTTAATTTTTGCTTTTTTTCTTCAATTTTTCTGTAAATTTGTCTGTTTTTTTTTATTTGGCTACCAAATCAGCACTGCTATTTCGTACAGTTTGTTTAGTTTAAGTGTATATTTTTGGTCTGCCAACTAAGTATCAGATGAAGTATAATAGCAAAATAAATCTTATACTTAATTTAGGCTAGAAGGAAAAAAAAAGAGAAAAAGTAAAATATCAGCTCCAATGTACTGCCTACTCTAAAAGTAGAAAAAAAAAGTTAAAAATAAAAGCAGTTAGATTCTGAGCAGCTAAGATAAATTAGGTTTGATCTATAAAATGCAGAAAGCAACAGTTATTATGCCAACGTATATACATAGCATTAGTTTTCTTGAGAAAATTTAGCATTTTCTTTGTAGTTTTAAAAAAATTGAAACAAAAGAAATTTTATTTTGCAGTGTTTAACATTACCATCCAACTGTACAAAACAGTTTTGATAGAATGACAAATTTGGCTGAAATAATTAAATGAAAAACAAGAGAAAAAGAAAAGCATAGTGACAAATAATATCATGAAATTACATCTGAAACCATAAAATAACTATCTTTTCTTTTTTTTTTTTTTTTTGTTCTAATGTTTTTTTATTTTTAGTAAGCTTGAAAAAGATGATATTGTTTAATGTAGTGAAAAAAAAGAGAAGAAAAAAGATCTGTGCAGTATGTTGAAACTGAACAGATGTATCAGCCTCCTCAAAATATTGCACAGATTCTGCTTGCATGCAGTTTTTTTCACGTATTCATATTTTGATTCACAGTGTTGTCGTGCAAAGATACTGCAAAATTTTGCAGACTTTTTGCAGTCTCATCAGTATGTTGAATATACCAAAAAAAAAAGCAACGGTACTGCTTTTTTTTTTGATTTTGGTGAATTATCTGGCTAACAGTTTGTTGGTGTCAATCTTACAGATCTCATTTGTCTATAAGTGTTAATTCATTTGGATATGGGTGCAGTTTATGAATTTCCGAGCCCGTTGTTAAACACTAATCGACATTTGGTATCATTGTCATCTTCTTCAACTTTGACATCACCTGACATCGCCATCAGCATACAGCATTAGCTTTAGTTCTTCAGCATCAGCATACAGCATTAGCTTCAGCTCTTCAG